CACAAATTCACCGTTACACAAGTGTTGTCAACACATGCGTTCAATAAGTGAGACATGGGCAAAGTGGTGTGGGTGGGGGTGTGGGTATGCTGCCTTGGCATGCCAACCTCACACACACAAGTCCACACCATTACCATCACACTTAAACACTGAGAGAAAATTTTTAATTACTTATAATATTTTTAGTTCACTTTACCAATGTAATAATATATTTATTTGTTATTCAATATTGTCTTAATTAAATTTTTATTTTTATCTATTTAAATAATATTTTATAATCCCAGTAAATTCATATATATTTCATATATATTTCATTTTATCATTTTTAAATTTTAATAAATTTGCCAGATTTACATTTTCAAAAATGTAAATTATTTCAATATTATTATTATTATTTTCTCCCAGTGCACACACACGCACACACACATAACAACTCAAGGCCAAGGCGTAAACAGGCCGCAAGTTATTGCCAAAAAAAAAAAAGAATTGGTAGCATACTTCTCAGGGAGCCGAAGGAAAAAATGTTTTTCCCCGGCATTTCGGCAAACATATTTTCGCCAATGTTGTAAATAATTTTAAATGCACACCTTGTTGAGCCTCCCCCACCGCCAACCCCTCAGAAATTTTGCCATTTTGCAGCTTCCTTTTTTTTACTTTTTGCACAGGCCACGACCCTTGGCGTATTAGTGTCGCATTGACACGTAAATTGACATGAAATTGAATCAATGCTGTAATATGTCCTTGGGGGGAGCAGGCCAAAAAGGAGGGTGAGTAGGGGGAGGGGGACTCCCACAAGGACAATGACTTTAAAATATCTCCCTCTGTATATATATATATAAATATATATGTATGTGCTTAGCTCTTGTCTGGCAAATTGAGCTGTAGGCCTCGACTCGCCTCGCCCTCTTAACCCCCCACTGCCGACGCCCGTGCCTTTGTGACTGTGCAAATTTTTGGTGCGTCTGTCTGCATGTTTGATTATATGTACTAAATCATCTCATTCTTTCCTTACCCATCTTATTTTGGCATTTTTTATTTATTTTTTGGCAAGGGCGGCTGCCCGCCGAGTTTATTAACTTGTTTAAAGGCAGTAGCAAAGCAGCGTTTAACCCTTTAAGGGTTAAGGCCTTCTGGCGAAAGTCACCCCCGGGTTGGGAGTGTTGAAAGGGCAACAGAACATGAAAGAATATGTTACAAAGGGATGGGGATGGGGGTTATTGAAGTTTAAGTTCATGTTGGCGCCAGTGAAGGGTTAAGTTAACAAGATTGAACATGTTAGATTAAATAAATTAATGTTTTTGATAGTTATATTTAATTATTTTATAAATTTTTAAAATTTTTAATAAATTTATTTATTTATCAAAGAGATTTTTTTAATTTTAAAATATATAAATATAAAATAACCAATTAATTTTATCGATAGGAAATCACTTTCTGGAACAAAACCCTCATTCAGAATTTTAGCCAGGATAACCATGTGTGTGTGCTTAAATGCGTATGTTTATATTTGCATTTAAGGGTGTAGTAGTCAGTAGTCAGAGCACTTTGATCTTTGCCTTTGACAGCGACTCTACCCAAAAAAGGGGTTTTAAATAAATAATCTTAAATAGCGAAAAAAAATCATATGTTGGGCATTGTCTTGCGATGTTTCGTTGAAAATTAATTCGAGCAGAAAATTCATTTACAACATTAGCACATCGCTGTCTTTTTTGAGTCTCTTCTTTTTGCTCTTCTCTTTCGGGGTTTTTTATGACATAAATTACATCAAGCGCAAAATTTTAATATAATTTTCACTAAAAACGCAACGCGAAACTTTTTTAGTTACACGCCTTGCTCATCAAAGAAGCGTGGGGAAAGGGAAAGGGGTGATGAAGGAGAGGAGCAAGGCGTGTGTGAAACAGGATATCCGCTGCGGAAGCTACAAATTTTCCACTTTTCCACACACACACACTCAACGGGGGAGGGAAGGCACCTTCTAAAGGATGTGTGAAAATTCAGAAAAGTAGGGAAATTTCGAGAGAAAAAACACAGCAAGAAAATAAGTTTAAATAGATCGGCTTAAGTTTATTTGTAAAATTTCTTTAATTTAGGGAAAAACATAATAAATAATGCAATAAGTTAAAAATAAAATCTTCCAAGGAAATTAAAAGTAACATCATTTTTTTTAAATAACTGATAAAAAATTCAATAAATTGTTGAAAATGGGCTTTCGAAAAATTTCCTTTTTGCGTATCAAATTTTCTCTCAGTGCCTGTGGAAACTTGTCACTAATGTGCTTCTGCTTACAACGCCATTTTATATTTATTTCGTTACATCGTCTCCGGGCGGAAAGGACTCTCCACTATATATTTTATACTGCTCCGCACTGCTGCTCAACTACTCTCGCACATATTTGCCGAGTCCTTTTAATCATTTGGCAAACTTTCCCTGACACGCAGCCCGAGATCCCGTTAAAGGAGTCAACTACGTTTTCCGTATGCCAAAAAACTACTCACCAACACACACGCATGCTTACACACAAACGCACTCACACACTCACACTCACGCATGTGCCGGCACAAAGTCCTTTTAGTTTTTAATGTAATTTTGAGACTTTTTCAGCTGCTGTGTCACTTTGCACACAGCGAACCAACGGCATTCCCCCCTCCAAATTCCCCCGGGGTCACAAGTTATTTCTTTAAGTGATTCGCCAGGACATGGGTAACAGTTTAGCCAAAGGTTTTCGGACAAGTACATGCCAACTTGGTCTAAAAGCTCAAGAAACCGCTTTAAAATCCCTTTAAACTTTTGTTGAAAAAATGGTATAAATTAGAAAGTCAAATAAGAAGGGACTGAAATTAATAAATTAATAATATAAAACAACCAGTTAAAATATATATGATATATTTTAAAATAAATTTTTATTAAGCCAAAGAAGAAGAAGAATTATTTGGAACAAAGCTAGGCTTTTGAAATCACTTTTAAAAACTACGAACTATCATAAGTTTGTAACTAATTAATATATTTTTCTTAACATGCCAATAAATTCCAATTTATCCCTGTTTTTGGCACTCAAAACTAAGGTTTATTCTCGATTATCATCTCGGCGAAAGTCAAGTCATTTTTGCCCATTAAAGACATACAAATTGTGCCTGATTGCGAGCTCATAAATGATACGATGGCAGCAGAACAAGTGGTTCGTAAGCCTTTTCGACGAAGCGAATCCAATTGAATGGAATCGAAGTGAGCTGAACTGAACCACCCGAAGGCCTCATAAATTTCATAGCGATATTGTTAAATTTTAATAAAATCAAAGCGTATCAAAAGCGATTTGTTCACCAGGCGACGACTGTTTCTTGTTTTTTGTATTCGTTACTTTGTTATTTCCGGGGAATATCCCCTCTTCGAAGGACAATCGTCCTTGCCATCGTTATCCTTGTTCGCAGCCTGGTTATATCGCGTGTTTATTGTTCCAACAGTCGCGCGGGGCTCTTTAAAATAATTTAAGGCTTAAGGGTTGGGTTTTTGGCTTCGGATTTTCGGCGCGGGCTTCTGGGTTTTCTGGGTTTACACTCGCATTTGAATTTAACCCCCGCGATGCGCATTTCCAAGTCGCTTTTCGTGAGTCGTTAAAGGATTAAAATCATTTTAATGGATTTTTCAAGCTGTTGTTTTGTTGCATAATTGTCGCCTCCATTGTGTCTCGCTCTGTTTTCATAAATAGGGCACACATCCTGCTTGGCGAACAGGGTGGCGTTGACAGGAACCCATCGTCCTTCGTCCTTTGCCCGCCTCATTTGTCATCATCTTTATGCTAATGGCGTGAGGTGTTAATGAAGCACACTTTTTGCCACCATTCAGATAAGTCATAGGAGGCACTCCTAAGGTTAATTTGATTATGGATTTTTTAAATAATTACAAAAGCAATTTTACAAATTTCAAATTGTCGTTTTGTAAATATTTAGGTGTTATTAAAGCAAACTTTTTAAACGATTGAAATAAAAGTAACAGAAGTCACCCCTAACCGAAGGTTTATTTTGAAACTATAAATTTGCTTTTTGTAAATACTTAAAATAAATATGTTATAGAAAAAATAGCACAAAATCTTGAAGAAATGATTTTATTTTTTAACTGTTTACTTCTTAATATTACTGAATCTTTTAATCTTTCAAATCGCAATACACCATTCATAACACGATTAGTAAGCCAACCGAAACACAAAAAAGCTCTTAATCTAATATCCCTGCCTCTTTGTACACTTTTCAGACATAACCCTTAACCCTTAACCCCACAATCCATAAAAGCGCAAGTCAGCTCATTAAGGACTAAGCCCAACTCAATTGAAAAAGAAGCTCGCGGCCATCGGTGGATATGGAAATGGAAATAGAGACCCCGAAAACTGGGCTCTTATCATAATGACGGGGTAAGCATATCGCCGACCTATCGGGTTATAGCCAAAGATCTCTAATTAACCCATTAGCCAATCCCTGTCCTTTTTGTTGGCCCAAAGCCGCGGGCATTTTGGGATTTCGGCTTCGGTTCGTTTAACCCCCTGGATAAAAGGTATATTTATTTACAGCTAATTTCGCGTGTGGCCCGCGGCCAAAATAGACAGGCAATAAGCTCACCTGGCCTTAGCCCCCTCACCTCGAGCATCAAAACATTAACCCCCGGCCGCCCGACTGCCCGGTTGACATTGATACGTGTGGTTCGGTGTCTAACGAGCGACAAGCCCTTGAGGCCATTTCCCAAAAGCCGCTTAGTTCCCAGTTTAGCTCCGCTCAACTCACTGCACTGAGAAAAAATGCAGGGAATTTCAGAAAAGGTTTACAAACTTTAAAGGATGAGTTTAAAAATTAAGACAATTAATTATAATTGTCTATAAAATTTAAAATAAAAAACCCTTCTTTTGCAGTTTTGAGTATTTCAACTTGAACTTATTTTCTGCAGTGTGGCGGTCATGTTATCGCTTAAGCCTTCCAAATCCGATTCCCCCGGAATCCTCGACCAGTTCCGCTTACCTGGCAACTTGAAGGGCAATCCGGCCATAAGTGGATCCGGTCCAAAGCGTTGTGGCCCAAAGGCGAACGGATGGAATCCCTGGTGTCGCACCTTCGATCTGGGCTCCCTTGGCCCGTCCACGGTCACCTTGATGGCCTTCGTGTAGGTGGCTATCTGGATGGGATTCGTCGAGATGACAATCGTCAGGGTGAAGCTCTTGCCTGAAATAAATTATTTTATAGTTTTAGAAAGTGTTTAAATAGTTATGGGCTTAAATATAAATTTTAAAAAAGCCTATTTATGTCAAAAATATGTTCATATTTAATATATTATTTAATACCATCGTTAAGCATAATTTTATATAATCCTTTATAGTTGCTTACTAATTATATTACTTAAAACATCAAACGTAAAGATAATATAAAAAAAGTTGATATCAAAAAAATGAAATAACTCCTTAAAAACCCTACAAAAATCTAGAAATCTCTTAAAGTTCCCGTTCCCAACAAAATATTTAATGTTAATTTTTGGCGACCGTTTCAATGCAATCAGAGGACGCAAATCCACTCCCTTTTCTTTTTTTTGGCTCTCCCACGACAGCTGCAAATTATACAGCGAATTTATAGATTTTCTATGACCCTATGGGTTGCCGTAGCCAAAATGGAGTGGGTGGTGGGGTGAACTGCACATGGAAATTAAAGTGCGGAATTTGGAATGGAAGTGGAAAGCGATGGGCAACGGGCAACGGTAACGTTTTTCGCGAAAATTAACCCCCGACGGAGTTGTGAAAGCTTCATAAAAACACACACAGAGCAACATGCAGATTTGCAGAGCGCATAAATGAATGAATAAATGAATGAGGAGGAGGATGCTGCGAATCGGGGGATAAAGGTTAAAGGGGTTTCAAATCGGGAATCTATATGCATTCTCTATATGCACTTCCTTTCGCAGCCAATGCAATATTAAGTAGCATGTGGCGACTTTGACATGCCAACTATTGTGGCGGTGTCTGGTTTGTATTCCAAATCCCCATTCCCATCCCCTACCCTTAACCCCTCAACTGTTAACCCCTAGGAAAAAAACCCACCCCTAAACGTTGCGCTGCATATTTGAAATATCCATAAAGTGAAACTCCCAGACGCGCGAATATAAAATTCATTCGCCAAACATTTTGAATGCCAAAATGCTTGAGTTAATCAACAAAAGGTAAAAAAACATTTAGGGGGATTTTCAGGGATTTAAGGAGGACCTAAGCCAAAAATGAAAATAAATACAAAAAAATAAAAAATTCATAATAAACTTATATTCCAAATAAATAAGACATAATAAGAATAAGAATTTAATAAATAATTACGAATTGTTTAATGAAAATATTTTAATATCTTTTTTTAAATGCCACAATATTTAAAAAATCAAAGTAAATTCGAGTTAATCAACAAACGGAATTAAAAAATTAAGTGAAATTTTAGAAATAGAAATTTAACTGAAAAAGAAGTGGAAATATATTTAATATATTTTGGTGAGTATTCTGACTTTTCATAAAAATTCTGTAATTATATTTGATGATCTGCTAGCAAAAAAAACTATAGCATGTGTAACTTTTGTATGTAAATTTGAGCCATAATCCATTTAATGCCCAACTCAAACCCCCAACCCATATAATTCCGAGTCATTTGCAGCTTTCTGGTCTACGCCCCAAATAGAAGAAGAACACATAAAAAACAAACAAACTTCTTAGATTAATATTAAATTAAACGAAGCATGCAAAAAACGCAAGAAGGCGGTAATCATTAAGACAAAGGGCAGCAAACAAACTGACGACGTCTGAATTTTCCTCAAGCTGTAACGGCTGCAATGGAAATCTGGTAGGAAAGTGGGCGGCAAGTGGGTGGGAAAACCCCAGAAACCCACGCAAGAAAACAAATGAACATAAACACAGGCGAAACGAACCAAGAAACCCAACAAAATGAAATGAAACTTTTTTAATTATGCGCCCTCAGCAGCAGCAGCAAAAGCAACAAGCTGGAAAAGCGGGGTGGGAAAATTCTTTTAGGGGGTGGGAAAGGGGAAAGGGATTTTCAAGTCAACAAGAAGGAGTAACCAGAGAAGGCTCGCAAAGTGGCTAAAGACAAAAGACTTTGGCGTCGTCTATTTTTGTTTTCTGGTTTTTTTTTTATTTTTGTTTTACTCGCTTTTGTGTTTCGCCAAATGAGCAAAAATTGCAAATAAATCTGTAGCTGTTAGCCATTTTCCCCCCTCATTTTCCTACTTTTTTCGAGGGGGCGTGGCATCCACAACAACGGCGACAAAGAACTTTTGCCTGCTAATAAGATGAAAAACCATTAAAAGTCGACACAAGTCGCGTCCATTGCAAGTGGAAAATTCTGTGGGTGGGGTAGGTGTGGAAAATTCTCCATAGAGAGGGGGGGGAGAGGGGAATCCAAGTGGGTGGCAGTGTGTGTACGCCGGGTTAAAATGTTGTCATTTTCGCAACAAAGCAGAAATTATCACCACTTTGCAAAAGGCGACGACAACGGCGACGGAAAAGGAGTTGGAAAATGCGGAAAAAGGGCTGGGAAAAATCGTCGAAGGGGGGAGGGCGTGGCAGGGGCGGTGGCTATGTGGACAAAGTGTGCACCCTTTTAAAAGGACCCAACTGTGACATATGCGTGAGTATGAGAAACACAGTGGAGATAAAAACTAATACCCATATATATTTAACATTTTCAAAATTAAATAAAAAATGTAAATGTCTTTAGATATAAATTTATAATGTATTAAAAAAGTCAAAAATATATATATTTTTTAAATGCATCTTTTTCAAAATAGTTGAGTATTATTTTATTATTTATTTAATTACTTTTCTTTACTTCTTTTTTGAACAACTTCTTGTGATTAATCCAATGTCACTCCCAAATCACTCCCACTGTCACTCATTTATGTGGACGCGAGTGTGTGTTGCCGGGCGCTAAGTGATTTTAAAACAAAGTTTTTGAAACGTTTAACCTTGCACAACAAAAATGTTTCATTTGCTGGCAGAGCAGCCGAAAGCCGAAAGCCTTTGCCTGCATTTTAACTTTCGATGCTGATAATGAAGGCAGGACTACCCCCTCGTCGACCCCCGGAAAAGGGGGGGTTTCTGGGTGGTTTTCAGCACAGCAAGGACACCGACAAGGGTTCGTATGCTTAGGCAATTTAATGGCTGCCACTGCTACTGCCTTTTGCCTTCTGCCTTTCTGCTTCGTGTTAATGTCGTTAGTAGCATGGCGCCATAATTATAATTTGACATAAGACAAGAAGTCTGAGGTTGACAACAAAATGACATTTTAAATACAGCAGCCATCAACCCCGAAGGACGAAGGACCAACGACGAGTGCTCGTGTATTTAGACACTTAACAGATCATAATTTCAACACTTTGCCTAATGCCAACGAATTCCTTAATGGCCGGGGCTTCATCGAGGATTTCCAGTGGGATCAAATATCGGAAGGGGTTCCCCTTACATACTCAAAAACTTTTCCTTAAGGAAAAAATAGGAAATATATATATATTTTGGCATTACATTTCCTCAAACACAAACTGCCGTCCAGTCGAAAGTCTCTCTTTTCCTTGGCAGTTTATTTGCATAAACTCCACTTTGACTCCCCAAAGGCACTGCGATGGCTCCTTTTTCAGTCATAAATATTCATATGTTTATTTTATAGCAAAAAGACAAAGTCTGTGTATTTTTGAGAAGGGGGTGTCTTGGCCAAGTCAAGACACTTTGTTGATTGTTCATGTTGCCTCTATTAATTGAAGCAATTTTTTACTTTAATACTGCAGATTTTCTTCTTAGGTGACCCAAAACTGCATTTAAAGAGAACATAACTTGACTAGTTGTATGTCGTTAAACTTATAATATCTAAAAAGGTTATAATAATAATATTGAACAATTTTCGGAATATGTTTTGGATGACTTGCAGAAAGGTGACCCAGAATTGCTTTTTTGGAGCTTATAACTTGGCAAATAGGTTTCCAATTAAGCTTGTAATTAAAATATCTAATAATTTTGGAAGCCCATTTTAACTTATTTTAAGTGAGCTTTTTAAAATTTCAAAAAGGTGACCCCAGAAATTTACTTAAGGCCCCATAACTTGCACAATTGTTTGCCAATAACTAAAACTATTAAAATATTTAGTTATTTTTGTTAGCCTTTTAATATTTTTGTGTATTACTTTCATATTCTATTGTTTCTTTTGAATTTGTGTCTTCATTATTTTTATGACTGAATCTTGTTGTCTTTTTGGCTTTACCCATTTTCCCCGAGGCGTTTTTCCTTACGCGGGGTGGGTTTAAAAAATAATGAGAGGGGGCGGCGTTTCAGTTTCACTTGGTTTCGGTTTAATAATCATAAATTGTTACCCCTTTTTGGGCGCAACTTCTTGACTTGACTCACTGTGTTGACATCCGTTTTTGCCGCTGTTGTTTTGCCCAAAAGTCGATGGTGGATTGCTGGATTTTTGAACTGGATTTATGTTACATGGCCGCCGGGCGAAATGGCGATGCGATGGCGAAGGAAAGGAAAAACTTTCTCACATGCCGAAAAAGGAAATTAAATTTCCAAGCCAAGTCAGAAATTATATTGGCAATAAATGAAGACAACGCGGAGGAGGAAAATGAGGAAAATGAGACTGAGCCCCAGACGCTGCCTGCAATTACGGCTTTCCATTTGGCGGGGTTGGTTGGCTGTTCGGTTGACGAAACGCCGGGGTCTTGAGAAGATATACGCAATGCTGCCAAACAGGAAGCCGGAATCGACGTTTATTAAAACGGAAACTCGAGACAACTGTGCGGCGGCACCGTCAACATCAGCACAAAAATTGGGAAAAAATCCAAAAGAAAACAAAAAAAATAAGGAGGCGGAAAGAAAATAAACGCGACAAAGACGATGGCGACAAGGACATAATTCTGTCCTTGGGGCTAGCTGATAAGCCACCCCCTCAGAACCACCCACACAAAAGGACCGCCGCTAAATTGCAATTTTCAAGATTTAAGCGTGAACAATAAATGTCACATAATCTGTAAGTAGCCAAATAAAGGGACTAAGCTATTTAATTTAATTTATCGCATTTTAAACATCCAGCGACCGAGAAAACAGACGATAAAAAAAATGATCAAAATAATATGTAGAAAAAGCGAAAATTTATTGATTGCGGTCATTTGGCTAAAGGCAATTCGAAGC